ATGGTTGAACTGATTTACACTCCCACCAGCAGTGTAAAAATGTTCCCATTTCTCCGCATCCTCTCTAACATCTGTTGTCTCCAGATTTTTTAAAGATCGCCATTCTACCTGGCGTGAGATGGTATCTCAATGTAGTTTTGATTTGTATTTCTCTAATGACCAGTGATGATGAGCATTTTTTCAAATGCTTTTTGGCCTCATCAATGTCTTCTTTTGTAAAGTGTCTGATCACATCCTTTGCCCACTTTTGAATGGGCTTGTTTGTGTTTTTCTTGTAAATCTGTTTTAGTTCTTTGTAGATTCTGGATATTAGCCCTTTGTCAGATGGGTAGATTGCAAAAATTTTTTCCCATTCTGTTGGCTGCCAATTCACTCTGATGACTGTTTCTTTTGCTGTGCAGAAGCTATGGAGTTTGATTAGGTCCCATTTGTCTATTTTGGCTTTTGTTGCCAATGCTTTTGGTGTTTTAATCATGAAGTCCTTGCCTAGCCTATGTCCTGAATGGTTTTGCCTAGATTTTCTTCTAGGGTTTTTATGGTGTTAAGTCTTATGTTTAAGTCTTTAATCCATCTGTAGTTAATTTTAGTGTAAGGTGTCAGGAAGGGGTCCAGTTTCTGCTTTTTGCACATGGCTAGCCAGTTTTCCCAACACCATTTATTAAACAGGGAATCCTTTCCCCATTGCTTGTTTTTGTCAGATTTGTCAAAGATCAGATGGTTGTAGATGTGTGGCATTGCCTCCTTGAAGAGGTCCTTTACATTCTTTGTTAGTTGTATTTCTAGGTATTTTATTCTCTTTGTAGCAATTGTGAATGGCAGTTCATTCTTGATTTGGCTCTCTTTGAGTCTGTTATTAGTGTATAGGAATGCTTGTGATTTTTGCACATTGATTTTGTATCCTGAGGCTTTGCTGAAGTTGCTTATCAGTTTCAGGAGATTTTGGGCTGAGACAATGGGGTCTTCTAAATACACAATCATGTTGTCTGCAAATAGAGACAGTTTGACTTCCTCCTTTTCTAAATGAATACCCTTTATTTCTTTTTCTTGCCTGATTGCTCTGGCTAGAATTTCCAATGCCATATTGAATAGGAGTGGTGAGAGAGGGCATCCTTGTCTAGTGCCAGATTTCAAATGGAATGCTTCCAGTTTTTGCCCATTCAGTATGATATTGGCTGTTGGTTTGTCATAAATAGCTTTTATTATTTTGAGATATGTTCCATCAATACCTAGTTTATTGAGGGTTTTTAGCATAAAGCGCTGTTGAATTTTGTCAAAGGCCTTCTCTGCATCTATTAAGATAATCATGTGGTTTTTGTCTTTGGTTCTGTTTATGTGGTGAATTACATTTATAGACTTGCATATGTTGAACCAGCCTTGCATCCCCGGGATGAAGCCTACCTGATCATGGTGGATAAGCTTTTTGATGTGCTGTTGCAATCGGTTTGCCAGTATTTTATTGAAGATTTTTGCATCTATGTTCTTCATGGATATTTGCCTGAAGTTCTCTTTTCTTGTTGAGTCTCTGCCGGGTTTTGGTATCAGGATGATATTGGTCTCATAAAATGATTTGGGAAGGATTTCCTCTTTTTGGATTGTTTGGAATAGTTTCAGAAGGAATGTACCAGCTCCTCTTTGTGTGTCTGGTAGAATTCAGCTGTGAACCCATCTGGACCTGGGCTTTTTTTGGTTGGTAGGCTGTTGATTGCTGCCTCAACTTCAGCCCTTGTTATTGGTCTTCATTTTATATTAAATTCTTACATATTGTACTCCGTTTCTGACCTTCATTTTTTATTTCCTATCCATTTTTCTTTTTTGGTGTTGGTCCACATCATTTTCAATATCGTTACTTTATGTTATAATATCTTAGATCTTAGTTATGAAGCTAGTTATGCCTCATAACTCCTCTTTTTCAAAATAGCATTTTATACACTTGTCCAGTTACATTTTTCTAGAAGTATTTGGTTGTAGTCTAATAAAAATAACCTATTGAGATTTTTGGTTGAGATTACATAAAATCTATAAACTAATTTCTTTTTTGCTGTTTGCTTCCCTTCCTTTCCTTTCCTCCTTTCTCCTTCCTTCCTTCCTTCCTTCCTTCCTTCCTTCCTTCCTTCCTTCCTTCCTTCCTTCCTTCCACCTTCCTTCCCTCCCTCCCTCCCTCTTTTTTTTTTGGCAGTCTTGAGTCTTGATCTGTTGCTCAGCTGGGAGTGCAGTGACGTGTTCACATCTCACTGTAGCCTTGAACTTTTGCAATTAAGCCATCCTTCCAGCTCAGCCTCCCAAGTAGCTGAAACTACAGGCATATGCCACCATGCCTGGCTAATTTTTAAATTTTTTGTAGAGACAGAGTCTCACTGTGTTGCCCAGGCTGGTCTTGAACTCCTGGGCTCAAGCAGTCCTCCCACCTTGGCAATCCAAAGTGTTGAGTTTATAAACATGAGCCACTGCACCTGGCCAACTAATTTCTATATAGGCATTTTTGTGCTTTTTTCCATCTCATAATAAGGTTTTCCCTTTATTCAAATCATCCATTATGTATTTTAGTAGGAATGTATGTTAGTCTTTGTATCGGTCTCTCATACAACCAACGTGCTCTCCTGATTCCATCTCCTGCCACTGTGCTCACTGCTGGAGATACAAAGCCGAGCATCCCCTAAGGTTAGAGGATTTCTTGCACAGCAATTTCTGCAGGAAGCTCAATTTGGTGAGCAAAAGAGATAACCAACCAAATAATTACAACTAACTATAGTAATTATCATGGTAAACAGAAGCACAAGATACGAAAGAAGCAGAGAGCAGGGATGCTGACCAAGACTAGAGATATTAAGGAAGAAATCCTGGAGGAAAGGTCCCTTAAATGAGCCTTAAAGATGGAATGGAAGTTGGCCAGATAAAAAGAGAAGAGTATTTCAGGCAGGCAGAGTGTTCATTGGGTGTGTGTTCAAAAGTAAAGAGATACAAAATAAAATGTTTTAGGAGCTCCAAGTAGCTGGAGTATTGGGTGACAGTGGATAGTAGCTGGAAATGAAGATAGAAAGTAGGTAGGAGGGTGGCAGATTGTGAAGGGACTTTTGTGAAAAGGTAAGAGTGGATATAGCACCAGAGGATTTAAGTGGAGGAGTGAAATGGTCAAATTTATGCTTTAGGAAAAAAGTCCCTAAAAAAGAAAACACTAAAAATAAATAAAGGCTATCCTAGCTGCAGTGTGGAAGATGGCATTAAGTGGTACCAAACTTAGCCAGAGGGGTCAATCAGGGTGTCTCTGTAGACATCTGGGGCAACATGCCTTAAGGCAGGGCAGTGGTACTAGGGATGGAAGAAAAGGAGGGATCCCGGAGCATCAGGGGAGGGCGCACAGACAGACAGCACCCTTGCATGCTCACATACCCATTCTTGTCAGCACTTTCCAAAGTGCTTTATAGTTTTCACTAGTTTAAACAGGATGTGTTCCCCTGTTGTGTTCTGACTGGCTATTGCTGACCTAAGAAAGCTGTTGGTTTTTAAAAATATATCTATCTTATATTCAATCCATGGAACAGGATTTAAAAATTCATTAAAATAAAAAATTTAAAAAATATATATCTATCTTGTATTCTTCCATTTTTTTAAACTTTTAGTTTTAAGTGTTAAGTTGACCTTTTTAGCCTTTCTAGGCATTTATTTTTATCTAAGTACTTGTGCATATTGATATTTTTGACCCTTCACCTTTTTAAATTTTTATTATGAAATTCTCAAACATGCACAAAAATAAAGAGAATATTATAACAACTCCTATATGCCCTTCACCCAGGTTCAGTAACTAAGATTTTGCCCCACTTCATCTTTCCCTTTTTGCTTTTGTGTTGTTGCTGAGGTATTTTAAAGCAGAATCTCAGACCTTTTGTCATTTCAACTCTACATACTTCAATATGCATCTCTAAAAATTGTGGATATTTTCTCATGTAACCACAGTGCCATTGTTATTGTGCTTAACAGAGTTTACAATTATTCTGTGGTATAATTTAGTATCTAGTGCATATTCATATTCCTTGTTTATCTCAAAATATCTTTTAACAGTTGGTTTGTTCCAACTGGGATTTGAATCACACATCACATTTGGTAGTTTGGACTCAAGAGACTCTTTTAATCTACAGTAGTCCCTAACCCTAGCGGCCCTTTTCAAAAAAAAACAAACAAAAAAACAAAAACAAAACAAAACTCTACCAACTGTGGAAGAAACCATATCTATTATCCTGTAGAATGTCCCAAATTCAGAATTTGTATTGTTTCTTCATACTATAATTTAATTTATTCTTCTGTCTCGTATTTCCTATAAATTGGAAGTTAGCTTTGAGTGACTAACTGGATTATGGTTCTTTTTCTTTTGGGGAAGAGGATGAGACTACTTCATAGGTTAAGGCTTCCAAGTACTTCTATCTGATAGTCCCACTACTCTTGGGGATGCTAACATTGAACAGTGGGTTTAGATGATGACAGCTCATCCGTCTATTATAAATTTCCCCATCAGACTCATTGAATGAGTTCATCCACTCATGATTGTCTCTGAATGAATTATTTCATCAGGGGATACAAAAAAAGTTCTCATTCTGTCAGTCTTTTCACATGTATTAGCTAAATAGTGTTCCCATAATAACTAGAGCTATTTTGTTGTCTTGAAATATAGTATGCACCCCATTCCCCAAAAAACCTAGAAAAATGCTTAATTCATTTTCTTTTATAGTAATTTTTGGTTAAAGAATGGGTACCATTGTTGTTCTTTTTAATAATCTATTGATTACGCTTCTAGTTTATGACTAATGCATTGGCTAGGATGCTGATTCTCCCCCAGTTATTATCTTATTATCTCAGTCCTTGTGAAACTAACCTCTTTAGCACAAGAGTCTTTAGATCCTTTAGTGTGTGAATGACTTTCTCAGTGCCACACGTCAGTCCATCTAGTCCTGCGCTTTTCAAAAGAAGATGGAACAACCTTTCCTTTGGTTCTTCTCTTCCTGTTCCAGGTCACACTGTGAACAAGCTGCGTAAACACTCAGATTCAGAAGTGGCTTATCTTGCCAGAGAAGTTTATACTGAGTGGAAAACTTTCATTGAAAAACATTCAAATAGACCTTCTATTGAAGTTAGAAGTGATCCCAAAACTGAGTCATTTCGGAAAAATGCCCAGAAATTACTCTCAGAAGCCTTGGAATTAAAGGTAATGCCCTAAATATATACAACTCTTATGTACCCGTAATAACTAATTTTTAAAATAGAAGAAAGATAAAGTTAATGTCCTGGTTTGAATGTGATTAGTAGGTGCTCTTGGTTAAACTGCCTCATGTTACATAATGAGCTTTCATAGTCTTAATGCTGTCTGTGGCTTTATTTTAACCAGTTATTCTTTAAGCATACTGGATTTATAATGTTGTAGGAGGGCAGGCTTTGGAACTAGCAAGATCTTAGTTGAAACCCTGACATTCTAGTTGTGACACCTTAGGCAGATACCTTAACGTTTTTCTGAGACTTGATTTCTTAATCTGTAAAATGAGGATTATAAATCCTACCACCTAAGGTATTAGTTTATAGGAACCATTTATGCAAAAGAATAGTAGTGCCTGCTGATTAGAAGTTATTTAATGAATGTTGGTTACTTGCCATTTAAAATTCCTTCCCTTCTCACTGAAGTAAAAATTCTTTGACGGACTGTGTTATGGAATATCAACGGCAAAATAAATAGCTGTCTATTGAAAAGACTCAACTCCCGCATTTTTTGTCAATAGCCATACCTTTAGTTTTAAGGCATAAAATCAACTGGATAGACATGTTCCCTATCATCTTCACGGCTCACAATTCAGATGATGTTAGTGGTTTGAGGTATACATGTTGGAAGAAGGATTTCTGCTCATTAATAATAATATTCATTGTCATCATCATCAAACAACAAATCTTATACGCTAATTAACACTCTGGAAAATCAGACATGTAATATTCCTGTTTCTTCCTCACCCCAAGATATCCCAGAGCAACTCTACTAAAATATCCTTAAAGAACAATTTAATATTAATAATATAAGCAATTCAGAAATTCGATTTAAATGCTAAATCTGTTACTTCAGTCTCTAAAAAAAAATTTAGCCCCTCTATCTCAATTATTTATCTAAAAAAGAAAGACTTGTGATATAGTACTTACTTTTTAAATTTTTTTTAAAGATGGGGTTTCACCCTGATGGCCAGGCTGGTCTTGAACTCCTGACCTCAGATGATCCACCCACCCCGGCCTCCCAAAGTGCTAGGATTACAGGCATGAGTCATGGCTTCCGGCCAGTACTTATTTTATTAAAATAAAATTTTGGACCTGAAGCAAATTTGTACCAAAGCAGCAGCTGCATTGCCACAGTTCTGTCTTCATCTTCATGATGTTTCCCTTGGTCAAAAACACACTAAGTCATCTGCAAGTTCAGCAAACAATGGCATTCAGCAAACAATGGCAAAGTAGAGCCACTGGAAATGGACACCTGATTTTCATGACACTATGGTAATGCTGTATTAGCTAGTGGAGCTACTTTCTGTATTGCTATGTGGATATATGTAGCAACACAAACCGAATAGAATGGAACCTGTCTCTTGTTGGTAGAGTCACCCCAAAGGAATGGAGAGGTCAGTAATTATCTCAGCTGGTATAATAATGAATTGTTTTAAAAAAAAAAAAGCTCATAATTGGCTGGGTGCAGTGGCTCACTCCTGTAATCCCAGCACTTTGGGAGGCCGAGGCTGGTGGATCACAAGGTCAGGAGATCGAGACCATCCAGGCTAACACAGTGAAACCCTGTCTCTACTAAAAATACAAAAAATTAGCCAGGCATGGTGGCACATGCCTGTAGTCCCAGCTACTCGGGAGACTGAGACAGGAGAATCACTTGAACCTGGGAGGTGGAGGTTGCAATGAGCCAAGATCATGCCACTGTATTTCAGCCTGAGTAACACAGTGAGATTCTGTCTCAAAAAAAAAAAACCAAAAACAAAAACAAAACCCAGCTCATAATTGATGCCAGGTTAAAGCACTGTCTACCCATTAAGACATGGCATTATTGAAGAAATAAAGTATATTTGAAACCTTAAAAAAAATAAAAATTTTGGGTTTTTAATTCAAACTTATAATAGAAAATGAGAAAAATGTAGAAAAGGGAAAAAAAATGTAACCCAGACATAATCTTGCTAACACATTGGCACATTTCCTTTTTCAGTAAATTATTATGGCTTTTTAAATGAATGCTGGGCAAGTTATCATTGTCTGAGATTTATATAGAGTGAATTATATGCCAAATGTTCCATAAGATATTTTTATTGATTATTTAAGTAACATTGCAGAAAATGGCATAATTATTTACATTTGTGTTCTCTTTAATCTTGCTCAATTTTAGTTAGTGTCATTTTGTATATCCTTTTCTATATATATTTTTTCATGTTTATAGTTTTTAATGTCTATTTAATAGTTCAGTGAATTGCTATGCTGGAAGTTTGCTTAACTTTTCCTAAATGAAACTTTAATATGAGTATTAAACCCTTGGAAGAGAGGAAAAAATATGAAAGTTGTAAGTCTAATTTACCAGAGTATCGATTAGCCAACAAGAATTATTTTAAATAAAGTTTAGTTTTGAAATAAATCAAAATTATTGCAGAAACATACAGTATGGGTATATAATATGTAGTTAATGTGGTGGTAAGTATCAGTTCCCTTGGTATCTTTTTAAGTAAATGATAATAACGAAGCTATGCTTGTAAGGATTAATGAGCAGTTTGCCTACTATATTAAACTCCATAATAATTATCCTTTTAGTTTATCCATTAATTATCCTTTAAATGGCACATCAAGTGGTAAGCACTCAAGTGTTATAAAGCAAAGTTAAAAAAGTGATACATTTGTTAGTGCTTTTCAACATAATTGGAAAAAATATCAGATTAAGCATAGCTGAATGGTTTTGTTCCCAAAGAGTAAATTTAAAAAATTAAAAGTATGCATCTTACTATCTTTCTTAGCCAAAAAAAAAAAAAAAATCTGCTTTCCTTGCATAAACAGCAAAACATTTGATAGCATGTTTATCAGTTTGTTATATTAGAGAATATAAATACAAATACTTTTCTATAAGGTTAATTCTTAGCACCTATCATCATCTGAGATATTTCCATATTAGAGTAAATCAATGAACCATCTAATTCAGTATCTGGTCTTTGACAGTAATCAATGTTGAGTGCATTCAAATCAGGCATCAGATCTCCATGAATGTACTTAATCAGGCAGTAGTAAAGCATTGAGTAAGTTATTGGCCCAGTGACTTAAAAACCTCTACAATTTGATCCTAGCATGTATTATTGCAAATACCAAATCTTCTCATTACATTGTTTTAGGAAAAAAAAATGTTTCCATGTTGTTTCACTCATATCCTTTAATAGTGAAAGCCATAGATGAAGAATAATATGTACAGCCTAAAGATACATCTCTTTATTACCTTACAGATCTTGCTTTCTAGATTCATGGATTATTTCCTTGTTCTTGGAATAGTGGAATAGATGAATAAAAACTCCATCGTTGAAACCCAGGCTCCATTCCTCTTTACTTTCTCCCTTCCGGATCTTCTTTGTTCTTCCCCATCTTTTAGATCTTTCCTCATATGAACATCCCCTGTGGTGTCATTCTCTTACTTCCCCTTCCTCATTATCTACTCTCCTTTCCTACCTCATGACCTGTGATCATTTTCCTATTATGTCATTAAAAAAATGAACCTGATTCTCAAAGTGAGCCTGTATCGTTAAGAGTTATGAAACACTGGCTGGTTGGCTCAGTTGGTTGTCAGATGGTGCTAATGAGATCCAGGTCAGGGGTACGTCCCCATATGGGACTGTTAGTTTTTTCTTTGTTTAATGGCCTCAGACTGCACCCCTGGCTTTGACCAGCTCTCTCGTGAATGTATTCAAGTGGTCAAAAAGAAGTGTAGGTAGATATGTACAAATTCAATCATGCTATTAGAAAATCCATACAACGTTTGCTTCCAGTGGCTATTCAACAGATGTTTAGTAAGGATCTACTTGGTGCTGGGGGAGAAGACAAACATGAATGAGTTGCATTCCCTGTCCTAAAAAAGCTTTACTATCTCCTGGCTGAGAGCCTATAAATGATTAATTAAAATATGAGGCAGTGTGAAATACTGGTACTAACTAGCAAGTATCAACACACAAAGTACAGAGCAGTTAAATCTGATGGGGGAATTGGGAATGCTTCATAGGAGAGATGGCAGTGGAACTCGCCTTTTAAGAGACATAGGATTTTGCTACCTGGAAAATACACATCAAACAGAAACATATTTTATCTGCTATGTATCTGATATTATTAGAAGAGCAAGAAAGAAGGGAGTTAGACATGGGAAGGAAGGACATTCATTTAACAAATATTCTTTGAACACTTACTATGTGCCACTAACCTGTGCTAGGCATGGGCAGTTTAGAAATGGATTCAACATGGTTTCAACTCTAGCAGTGCTTATAGTCTTCTGAGGAAGATAGACAAATAAATCATTACAGGACAGTGTGGGAAGTTCTGCATTTAAGGTAAACGCTTGAAGAAGACCCTGTTCCCTTGTCCTGAGAAAGCTCATGCATGTGGCAGACATCACTAATTGGTTATGGCACCATTTCCCGCTGATGAAGGAGCTCAAGGTGGTTGTGTTTTATATCTTCCTCCAGCTATAGCCATTTCATCCAGAATTAGACAGCTGTATAACACACTTAACTCACAGGCACAAACAAATAAGGAAGGCAGATTTGATTCTCTGTCTCTGGGAAATGTGAAGTAGGAGATATCAAGAAACCAACAGTGCAAGTGTTAAACAGAAGTGATGTTGGAGTTGTGAGGAAGCAGAGTTATGAGTAGAGAAAAGATGTGTAGCATAGAGGGAGAGAATAAGGCAGTTAGAATTGGGAGTGAGTAAAGCCCATGGAGAAGAGCAAAAACGTGTGAGAAAGAGACCAGGCAGCTCATGAGAGATACAGAGAAAGGACCGATTTCTAAATAAATTTCTAGGTTTCTCCCAGTGTTCCTTTCCTTATTCTCATTCATATTATCTCATAGCAAAAGCCCTTTTTCTCAAGGACTCAGTGAAACTCTGGTCCTTCCACTCAGAAGGGTTCATCTAAAGCACCAGATTAGGACCCACTGGAAAGG